TTTTAGTCTGGTTAATTCTAGTCTTTATTCTTTTTAATTGATACTTCGTATTCAACGAAGTTTCAACAAGCAAAAATAAGGGTCATAGCTCCTTGATAAAGTTGATTCCTTGTTAGCCTCGAAAAAATGCTAAACGCAGTAGATACTTGTTTAGTATGTTACGATTTACTATTCAAAAATGTTGATAAACTATATACAAGCTATATTACATCGTAATATTTTAGCATGGTATACGTTTCACCACTACTGTCACTTTCGTCAATTATCTTACTTGTAAAGGGATTCGACTGAGCGTTAGGTGTGATAGGGTAACTCTCAACAGATAAAAAAGCAAGGAAATACTTTGAAATGCTCTATTAGGAAAAATTATATGAAGAACAAATTACATGGAATAAAGGACTCTATTTATACTTTTTGAGATACACGACTTTTGGGGAGATCTTGTATCGAATTAATACTGCTCATTGGTTAATTCACGATATATAGATGGTGACTAAACTGTGGATGTTGAGAATAATGCGATCTCACGTAAATACGTATTATATAAAATTTTATTTGACAAGAAAGTACTTTGTTAATTCAGTCGACACATAATCATGTGCCTGACCAATTGTTAAAGATAGATATGAAACCTAGACAGTGAGGAGAGATAATGATCCGAGGAATCTTTACAAATCTTTTTTTTATAGAATAAACTAGTATGAATGTTTATATCATCATAAATTAAGAAACGCTCTATTATAAAGCTGTAGATCATTAGGTTCTCTTTATATCTCAATGCAACTTAATGTCAATCATTGGACTTATTCACGCTAGGACTTCTAATACAATTATATTCACATAAAGATTATTTATTCCTTATTACATAGTTCAATGGCAGGTCATAGGTAAACCTTGTCCTAATGGATGATGCTGCTTAAGCTTTATAGCACAATTTATTCTATATTATGTCTAGCTTATAACAGTAGGTATTGAAAAGATGTTTTAACTTGGATCCTACTTTTTCATAATGATAAGTTAACTATTATTTAACTTTATAATCAATATAGGTACGCCGTATACTACTGGGGTCGGTTGAAGTATTGTTTTTCTCACCACGAGATCAGCAGTACTGATGCTACATAACGCTTTTGAAAGTCCGTCGTCCTCTCCAGAAGCAGCTTTTAGCTAACTTTTCAGCTTCATATACGTTCGCTTTTTGTTCGCAAATATGATAAGCAGTTTAAACAGTGTGAGTTTAAAACGAGAAGCGTTTAATATTTTATTATAAACAAGACGACAATGTGCGCCTTTTATAAGCTTTTGTCGTATCCGAACATAATTCACGCTTATTGAAACTAAAGAAGTTACCCTTACAATAACACTTACTAGTACATAACATCATTTCTTGATTCAGATGTCACAATAGTAAAACTAGGGAATCCTTAATTAAGCTAGTCTACTCCAAAATAACTGTTAGACCTACGTCAACTGTAATCCCACAGTAAACTTGAATAGTATAAATAAGAACCACTCTTTATCAATAAAGAAATTAATTCAGTCTTGTTGTATCTTATTGTCTATTACTACTTTTAACATTATCAGAGCTTTATATAAAATTACTAAGCTAATTTGTATGTGTGAGTGTGTTTTTTCCTTAGGAACCCTCATTGGAAGACATAGAAGAAATCATTACTTATAAACAAACCATAGACTCATCTTATATAATAAAGCCTGCTCTATCTACTCTTTCTGCGAACCAAATGAGTATTCTCAAACTAATATATCAAATAAATGTTTTCTTGTTGTAGCTTCTAGAGTTACTTTTCGAATTCTTCTTTCGAGACTGCCATTTTTCTAAGCTTATTCCTTAGCTATTAATTACACCACTAATCTCTGAATAGAAATGATTTCAAGAATAAGCCTATTGAGCATCTCTACACAAATAATACTATATTGTTGACATATCCCAACAGAGACATGTATATTGAATCAAAAGTAACTGCTTTATATTAACAAATGAGTACATCTGTTGAAGAGAACGTCACAGTAGTGAAGTTAACCAGCCCACGTATAGCTTATCTTAACCTACATCAGTTATAATCTCTAGTAAGCTTGAAAAGAACTTGATGTTATCATGTGCGGTATACGGTATATGTATATTAGTATCAAAAGAAAGGTCTGAAGTCGAAGAGGCAATAGTTTGAGGCTTGTGAAAATACTTTAGTGCTTTGTAGAAATGTTTATATTGATAGTTTTAAACTGTTGAGCATGTTGGAGTTATCATTGCCTGAGTGATAAGATATAATTAATTAAAATGTTTAGCTTGTTTACATCCACCCTATCTGCCCTCTGCACTTTAGCCAACTTTATAACATACATAAAGTGAATCTTACTTTTTCAGTAATATAAACCATTAAATGTACCCATGTTCATAATAAACACTGAAAGGCCTCATCATTCATTGCTTGTTCTGAATACTAGCCATATATATTTTCAAATATCCAGTTTAACGCCAATACCTTTTCATGTGTGAAACCCTTCTGTTAGTATTCTTTATGACTGTGCTATTATATACCCTTGTAATAGTTTCTGATGATAAAAGTATAAGCAAAATATTCAATAGTACAAGCGGGTGTAAATTAAGAATGGATTCAACCGTAAGTGTATAATATCGACGCCTGCATAAGCACACTATAATAAAACACATATAAGAATTATAGTACTCTATGTGAATGCAGGCTAATTCCTTTTGACTTTATCATAAAAGTATACATGGATTGGGTTAGCTTCCTTTTTTAATAATTACGAACTCTTTCTGAATTACATATCGAAAGGATGGTTGAAGCTATTACTTTGATGATATACTATTACAAGTGTCAAGTATATACATGTATGTATGTAGTGTAGCACATACAATGAAAAGCTATTATTACTGTGGCTTATTTAAAATCTTATAACATACACTTATATCAAGCCAGGAAAGCTACCTTGGTGATATATGTGGCTTGGATTTGTGATAATAGCATATGAGTCATTGTATTTATAGCATTGATTGGTTTTGTTCAAGACAAGTATTATGATAAACAAAACAATGAAACAAACTCTAGTATCGCCTATAGTATCACTATATTCCAGTTTGTACTCTGTAGCTATCGTTATTACTATTGTAACTAGGGAAAGAAAAAAACTCTTTTCAAACAAAGGGGTTGCGTTTTGATGCAATATAAGCATTTAATCGCTTTGGAATAATAAATTGATGCATGATAAATTAAACAAATAAAGATAAACTCATTTACTTTATCTTTTTTTTTTCTTGATGAATAAAGAAAGGGGATGCTGTGTATATAAATGAAATATGGCTAAAGATAAAACTTTTGACACTCCCGTTATAACAAAGAATGATTGCGGTTTAAAACTCAGTCAGCTACAAACTTTTTTATTACAAAACTATTTCATTATTCTTTTATTTTTTTAAATTTTAATTCAAATGAAGAACCACAAAGCAAAACGTAGAGCGCAATCTGAACAAAGAGAAAGCCCTAATGGAGAGGTAGTAAATTAAACAAGCGGAGAAGATTAAATTACTAATTAGTCATGTTTAGACATATTCTCATGCCCTCATTAGTTTGTTCTCTTTGGTTACAGATGTGAAAAACGAAATCACTGAATTAAGAAAAGAGCAACAGACATCAAGAGAGAGAATGATCTCCCTACAAGAGCAAATTGCAAGACTTAGTGGGCATATAGACCCTAACCAGGTTCGTTCTCCAAGCCTATCTCATTCAACAACAAATTCAGATGGCAATGGTGAAAGATCAAGACAAGACAATAATAGACTCTATGGCACTACTGACTGGTCACCATACTATGTGGGTGATGCTACCAGATCAATAGTGTACAATGGCCCTCTGGGTCCGTACATGTACAATCCATCTTACTCGTACGTTTCTTCAAATGTAAACACCTCTGATGCTCGTCATGTTGAACAACCTTACTTTCATAGTCATTTGAGCTCTAATGCAACAAATTCTCATTACATTCCGCAGGCCACACGTAGGCCTCCTTCATCTTATTTTACACAATCCCTTCCCCACGCAAAGATGTCTTCAGCAAAGTTGGACAAATCCAGCCCCAGTAGAACTGAGTCACGGCAAGAAGAACCGCACAACGACCCCGCTTCGCCAGTGGAACAAAATTTGGAACACACTTTGAGCGAACAAGAAGAAGAGAACCAAACAAGCTCCAGGAGAGTTACGCGTTCATCTACCAAGCCAAATCAGCAAAGGGTTACTACCAGACGTTCTAGTCTTGCGAATGCTGCCAAAAAGAGGGCACCTCCAAAGTTGCCTTCATCTGCTCTTCCACCTAAGAGACGTGCGCGCACAGTCAAATCTTACCGCATAGTGTCGGATAGCGAAACCGAAAGCACTGATGAGTCAGAACAGGATCCTACGGAAGAGATAAATGTAGGTAACAAAAAGCAAAATAATAGAGAAAAGAATGACAGCAAGAACAAAAGCAATGGTAAAACGTCAAAGGCAACACAAGATACGCCTGCTTTAGATCAACAGTCTAAGGAAATGGAAGAAGATAACGAAAGAAATGCTAATGATCAGGAAACGAAAAATTCAGAACAAGGCGCCTATAATATGGATCAAAACAAGGAGGATGCATCAACACAAGAAAAAGAACAAGAAAATTTGCCTGAATCAGCCAAGCTCAGGGAAGATGCACAAAACACAGTTGTTCGGGAGGCACCAAGCTCTCAAAGGAGTAGTAGTACGTCTACCGTTGATAAGCCTCTCATCCCGGTTGTGATTCCTGCAAAGCACATCCCAAAGAGATATGGACGTCAAACTGTTAATCCTAAAACAACTCTAGTTGACGGCGACTTCTTTGGAATTATAAGCATGAAACAAAAGGAAGAAGCCGAGAAGCAAAAGAATGGTAGTAGAAGCTCTAGTGATATCAGTATCGACAGTAGAGAGAATCTCAAACCATCTGAAATATTATCTATCCAAAGTGTTTTACAGAATGAGCATGCAAAAGATATTACTCATGAAACAGTGAATGATACACAAGACATAGCACATGTAGAGACAAGAATTGTTAAAGAGCAAGTCATTGGCATTGAAGGAGAGTCTGAAGCAGAAACTCGCAGTTTAAAGACTAAAAAAGCAAACCAATCCTCTGTTAACTACGATTCTGATGCATCAGGTTTAAGTTATCTTTCAGCCACGGATAATAACACAGATACAGAGGCAGATTATAATACATACCGTCTAACAGCAAAAGATGAATCTACGCCCTCTGAAAAAATGGCGCGTGCAAAGGAGTTAGAGTTTGAACTTACTCCTGAGGAACAATTAGCATCTGAAGGTCTCCTGACTCCACTCATTCGGGTACCCTTGGATGCAAGCAAATCCACTGCGGATGTTGTTATGCAAAAAGCAAATCTGAAAAAGAACAGCAAAAAGAGAGTATTCGAACGGTAAATGCTTGAGTATATATAAATATTTTATTCTACAGTTTTACTCACATGCTCGTGATATAGTGAGGTTAAGTTATTAGGTGTTGAAAAGAAGGAGATCAAGAAATTAGGCGACTATAGAGAACGTAAACTCAGACCTAGATTTGAGAAAAAGAGGCTCCATATCTACTGAACTTATACTTTTTAAACCATTTTTGTAAATTTCCCATCTATCCTTTTCTCCTTTAGCATTGATTTAACCAAATTTTGATAGTAAAGCCCTATTTTATTCATAGTCAAAAATCATGGTTTTGAGGATTTGTACATCTTTAGGTCATGTGTAACTTATGCATCTGCTTGGCTACACAAATTGTTCAAAACAATATAAACATAAAGTTGATAACAAAGTATAATAGGATTCACAAATAATACTTTATTAATTGAGCTATATCACTCAAATGACACACAGATGCATGGCTGTACGACTATTGCAATAGAAAATTAAAAAAGAAAAACAGCAACTCATTTTCTTATCTTTAACATCAACTAACAAAGTACAAACACACACAATAGTACTTTGTGCACAAGGAGTAACGCAAACTATTTTCCAAAGCTCATATAAAGAATATGAAAAGAATAAAAGATTGAAATAGAAATATATTTGTAAAACATGGTAGTAGCAAAGAAGACAAGTGGTCAAATATCTCTAAAGCGATAAGAAAATAGACATTTTGCTTGCTATTAGCAAATGCTAGAAATGGAAACTACTGTACATATCTCGGTTAAGAAAAATATGCATATAGATAGCTATATTGTCTATACCAAGGCTTCATTAAAGGTTGATCAATCTATATAAGAAACAAGGAGTGTAAATTGAGATAGAAAGGGATTATAAAGTGAACACATTTGAACAACTAGTCAATGTCCATAAGTGAAATATACTTTAAAAAAAGCAAGCTTGCTTAAAATGCAATGGCCAAAACGATACTTCTTTTTCTTTTCCAATAGGCAGTTTGTTACTATAGAGACACAAGTTTCTATTTTGTGTAAAAACTGCGCATACAAGAGTAAAGCATAACTACACCTATTACAAAAGGTCAGTTTTTTTAATTTTGCTGTAAAAAATGAAGTAAATATCCGTTTAAGTGACATACATGCCCTAATGAAAGAGAACAACATGAAGAAAACCTGTCCGCATACATGCAGAATATAGAACAATGTTTTAAATTACCTTTGTCTCATATTCTAACCTGATGAACTGAAACAGTTTATCATTCTTTATTTTTGAGAATAAACCGATATTTGATAAAGTAGAACTTTTACTTGGTTTGATTATAGCATTGCTTTATCTATGAAATATTTGGTGATTTTAGAATATAAGAAATTCCAATATTACTGGCCGATGTACATTTAATTTTATATCTATCAGTATGTTTTTGCACTTTACAAACTTCTGAAGTTGTTGCTGCATGAATTATCTATTAAAACAACCAAACAATTTGTGGAGTGTAAAGTGTTTGAATGATCTCGCTTAACCTTCATAATCCAGTGATAAAATACATCAATTTTCAGTAGCTGTGCGGTATTTACCCTATAAATACTTGCTCTTATCGTATGAGATTACTATAAATCTATACTCTAAGAATGAACAATATAAAAAGACTAAAAACAATACATGTTATTACCATATAACGCAACATGCCCAGTTCTCATTGGCCATTGCTGTAATCAACAATAGAATTAACACATCAAAGAATAAATCCAATAGTTAGATCACCGATGGTGGTCTCTTTGACAGCATGGCGTTATTGACAGATGAATTAGAACCATAATCAACCACAAGTAAACCTATCAAGCATGTAGATACAAGCTATGTAATAGACTTTCGAATCATTGACTCTGAATACCCTTATTCTAAATATCCTTTGAATTGGAGCTTTATATTATCAAATAAAAGAGTCTTAAAAATATTGGCCTGTCTTTTTGATAATATAAAACAGCCATAACTAAATCGGTTCCTTAATAATTCTGTCTTCATAGCGAGCCCTCTCTCTCGCCTTACTACAAAATAAAGAGGTTATATAGAGATCTATAGGCTTATGATTCGCCTACTACTTCTTTATATATTCGATATATATTACAAGTTGCTATAGATAACGAAAAACCCCTGTGAAATTTGTCCTGACGACCGTTTTCAAATGCCTTGAATATGATATACTGATTTGCTAAAAGAATTACGAGCCTCAAATGAGACACAGAAATAAAAATTACCATACTAAAAGGTAACTATTGGCGTACACTTACATGACAGAGAGAGCATTAGATAAATATATTACTACTTACTTCTGTAGAGTATTACTATCATTGTAAGCGGGCCTAGCTATGTTTCACATAAGTGAAGCAACGTCAAATGCTCTGTAAAAGACAAAAGTCAGCTTAATATACACTT